CCAAAATAAAAATCAATCATCAATTTATCTGTCAAGTCATTTAGTGATAGATAAATGATATTTATTCCTAAAGTTTTACTTCATTTGTTGAAGTCTGATACTCCTTCTATTTGATGCCATTCTGCAAGCATTTCTTCCGAGGAAGATTTGTACAAGCATGTATATGTATGTATACGTTAATTAATTAGGGATGGAAGCAATTAGCCAATATGCAAAGTACCAGTTTTGATGTGTGTGAAATATGCAGCAAGTTTACAACAAACTCATTCAGGATTGCGGAAGCGTTTAACCAGGATCATCCAAGTGTTTTCATTACTCTGAATGGAGGTACTTCTCTGCATAAATGTAACAAACACAACTCGAAGAATACCATGTAATTATTCATCATGCAATTGATTTTAAAAGAAATTGCAGATGAATTGGTCAGAGTATAGCGGAAGCATTGATTTAACCAGAATCAAATATATATACCTCTGTTCCTTTAGTAAAAATAAAGAACCCTAGCCACGTTGGGTGGCTCTGATACCACATGTAAGAATTACATAAGAATTAACCTAACAATATTACCAACGCAGTGTTAGGATTACCAACATGAACAAAAAGATCAGTAACAACCAAATCATAGCATCACATTAATCGCAAGGATGACTTACCTGATGGAGTCGCCATTAAATGAATAACAAAAGTAGTCCTCTACTTCCAGCACACAACAACGATCTCTACTATTGAATAGGGTTTAGTTTTGAAAATCTAATTGTGTGGAAGCAGGGACTTCCTCAGTTGATATATATATATGTATGTATGTATGTATGTATGTATGATCCTCACTTTATCATATTAGAGTTTCACTAAAACTAGCCTATTATCAGTAAGAGTGATAATCTCTCTCTTCAATAAGATTAAGTCTCATCATGACTCTCATTCCTTGTATTTACTTAATAAAGGCCCTTAATTGATTGCATGTAATTAGGACTCCAATATATTTATTTCCTTAAGGCACCGAGAATCCTACAAATTTTATTAACTTGTATGCCAAGTCAATTATTCTCTCAATAATTCTTGGCATAATTCATTGTCATTCATAAAATGGTTTTACATTTTGTCACATTGGGTACTTCCCCGTGCCGGTACAGCTTCGCCAGCCAAAAATCCCCAAGCCTCCCTCTCATCTCCACGTTTAGCAAAATACTGCTCGACTTGATGTCTCTGTGAACAACCATCTGGTCCCACCCGTGGTGGAGATAATTCAGCCCCTCCGCCACATCCACCACCACGCGCTGCCGTTTCTCCCACCCCATAACAGTCTTGGGCTTGCCGAAAATCCACCCATCTAGGCTCTCGTTGGGCTTGTAATCGTACACCAGCATCAACTCGTTCCCCTTCTGCACAAACCCCGCAATTGGACCAAGTTCTTGTGCTGCAGCCGTCCCATGCTCGCGATCTCCGCCATGAACGAAGGAGGTGGAGAAGGAGGCTACGGAGCTGGAGTTGGAAGTGGGTTTCATGGGGATTTTGGTTGGGTGGAAGACGTGGCCGAAGGTGTACATATTGGTGTAGTCTGTGAGGAAGATGGCGGCAGCGTCCAATTGGGCGTCGTTGATGAGGATGAGGTCGGTGCCTTTGGTGATGTTGGAGAAGGAGTTGAAGAGAAAGTCGAGAGCGGAAATGGGAGAGAAGAAGAGGAGGAGGAGGAGGAGGGCTGAGAAGGTTGCCATGATCCGTTCAGACTCCAGTATTTTCAGAGTATAAAGCCGAGCTAGCTAGGACCTTATAAATTAAAATTCTCTAGTCGCTTATGTCGTTTTTTCAACGCCTGGAGGTGATCCTCCGACTAATCTATCATCTCAGTCTAGAGTTGGCAGCGAATGGGTTTAGCAGGTCATTCAAATTCAATCTGTTAAGTTTGCGGCTGGAAACAATTGGACCCTGGAATGACGCATTATGTTCATACGTGTTATGTTCATAAGGTTTATAGCCAGTGGGAGACTCAATATTATGTCCATACAAATCGCAATGTAAAGCAACTTACATAAAACAAGTTTATTGTGACATGGCACCCCCCACTCCATTTATACAATAGTGAAGCTTAGATTAATCATTAGTGATCAATATATATTGTTATAACTTATAACCAATCAAATGTTACTTATATAATATATATAAAATTTGCAGAGTTTATTGCAAATAGCAAATTCAACAAAGATGTAATATATCAAAATGTTAACACTTAACGAAATTGCATGTAAATCACAAAAAACTGACTTGATCGTTGCAGATAGAGGCTTGCAGAGCAATCTCCTAAGACAGAAATACGCCCCTACACCAGTGCAGTAGTTCAAAGGACGTCTATCTTGCAGGATACAACTATCTAATCCAAGTTCTTGCACACGAACTTGGATTCTTGACGAATTGGTAGTGTTGTTCTCTATAAGGAGTAAAAGGAGCGATTGGATTGATCTATTTCGTTTCTGAGCGGACTGCCATATATATAATGGCTTAACTTGAACAAACGCAACCGTTCATCCTTATCAGTTACAAAACTGACGTAACTGTTCCCTTAGTTTTATCCTTTTGGAAAAACTGTTCCCTTAGTTTTATCCTTTTGGAAAAACTGAATCCAAAAATTCAAAACGAAAAAATAAAACTTGTGTTTTTCCGTCAATCCAAGCCCAAGGCCCATCTTTGACATTTAATATATACACCCAAACCTTCATTTGTAAGGTCCAAGATCCATAGCTTTAGCCCAATTCTTTTCAAACCATAAAGGAGGGAAAACACTTATAAAGAGGACTTTAGAAATATGTTTGGGCGATGTGGGACTGAGTCCCACTCACAAGTTCCAACATATATTATTCCAACCACTTGGTTGTATAAATTTTACGATTGAAGCTTGAAAATTTTGATTTAGTGTGCGTACATACCCTTTCTTGGCATAGCATAGGGGATGTAGTAGATATATGCATGTTCTTATAATAACACTCATCACTTAAGTCGAGTAGTTATGAGGTGAACATATTTATTACGAGTAAAGCTCATTTGAGTTAGATTTTTATTCATAAAGTTTGAAATTCATGTTCAACATGTATCTTTCTTTGCAAGAGTCAACGCAATGCATTGGATCGAGAAGATGTATTTTTGTGTGCATCAAGCGCATTGCGTTGGATTCTCACATACAAAGTTTGAATTCATGTTTCACACATTCATTTACGAGTCGGGCTATATATTGGAGCCCTTATTATCTCCTCAATGTGTTTTTGTTTTGAATAAGCAAATTCAACCCATGCATAAAAGATTTTATAGCGCTTCAAAGTACAAGACAATTAGATTTTGAACACTGCAAAAAATTTAACGGTTAAAATTTTGAGAGTATAAAATGGCAAAGGATTGTCTGCCCTCTTACTTCCGGTGCCCTCCCGTGCATTCCTGTTTTGTGTGGTCACGGTTAAGTCACGTCAATATTTTATATTACTATTCATTTTTATTTTATTATATTTATAAAAAAAACAATATAAAATGTTGACTTGGCTTAATTGTGATCACACAAACAGAAAGGCACGAGAGGGCAGACAATCCTTGTCTGTATAAAATATCCCCCAAGCACGCTATTAGTGTAGCAAAACAGTACCAAGCAACATGTATTAAATGCAGAAGTAGTCACCTTCTGAACGAATAATAGTATATGAGCCTAACTTGTCACCAAAAAAAATAAAGTAGGTCAGCGTATCCAATGGGTGCGCATTACAGTAATTATGCCCCATACGTTACGAGAAATTTTCAATGTGATCAGTACATGGAATGATACATTATGTATCATTATACAATGGTGAAATATATATGCTAAAATATTAATAACTTAAAAAATAAAAATTTTCACCACTTCTATTAAAACACGTGTTGTACCATTTGTATTCCTGTTACAACTAAAAATTTATCCTACATTATCATGAAACAAAACAGAAAGAAAAAGAAAACACCGAAAACAGTTCCATGAGAGCACTTTTCAAAAATTCGAGAACAGAAACTGAGTTCAATTTTCAATTCAACGGCATCAAAGACGGTATTAAGTAAGGAAGAGGATCCTCTCCCGAGCTCAGGATGGGGATCCTCCTGACCAGCCCATATGGGCCATTCAAATTTAATCCAACGACTCCAAACATGGACGCCTTCTAAAAGTTATAATAATTGCAATCGTTGAATTAAGTTTGAATGGCCTAGATGAGTTGGTCAGGAGAGGATCCTCTTCCATTAAGTAAGGTTGTCCATGACGATGACCATGAGGTGTTGATCATGTAGAGATTTTTCAGTGTGATCGATACATGAGGTGATATATCACGTGTCATTATACAAAATGTGAGATACATATGTTAAAAAGTTAATAACTTCAAAAATAAAAAATTTCATCACTTCTTTAAAAACACGTGATGTTTCATCCGTATTCCTGTCAGAAAGAAAATTTTCCCCAACTTATAAGTCATGAGTCTTAATAACGAAGATATATATGCCTAGTAAAATTGGATGAACGCTAAACAGACAATTAAAGTAACAGAAAATTTTTCAGAAATTAAGCGGATTGACATTAAATGAACAATAAAAAAATAAGTTGGATAGAAAGGTTAGTAAGCTATGTTCCTCTCAGTATGTCCAATTTCAAATGCTGCTTTCAATAAGTCTGTTTCATATATGTTGTTTCTCCGCCGAAAAGCTAGGTATAACAAATACAGAGCAAAAGCAATTTCACTGTTTCAACTTTCAGCTACCGCTCAAAGGCGTTTTTTTATATGGGAATTTTAACGAAAACCATCCAGTACTGTTCATTTTAACGAAAAATTACATTTTTACACTAAAAGTTAATCCTGGTACTATTCACTTTACCCTTTATTTTGTCCTTATCATTAAAACTCAAAGTTTTCAAGCCCTTTTCATTAGTTTTCCTTTTTTATATTTACTAAAGACTAATTACAGAGGAAAGCGATAGGGATTCCCTCGTGCGACCATAGATGTGAATATACACACTTTCAATATTTAATCACTATAAAATTACGGTATCAGACAACTATCATCAATAAATTTTCATTAATTCAGCTACCAAAAAATTAAAAAACGAATTAAACACTAATGAGACTAATTAACAACTAATAATTAATTACAAAACACTCGGTGAGCATGAATCAACAATTCCCAACCTTCTCGTTTTCCAGAAACCCAACTCCGGGTCGAGCTTCTCCGCCGCGGTTCTCGCCGGTTCCGATTTACACCTCGTCAGTATCAGCGGCCGAGCCGACCCGCCGAAGTCTCCGTCTTTATCTTCGATGCTCGCCGATTTCGCCATTCTTTCTCGAATTTCGCCCTCCAATTCCCTGAAAAATTCCAACTTTTCTTCGCTCTCCGACTCCAATCTCGCTTCCTCATCCGAAATCGACTGCCTTTCCGACGTGGGTTTCTGTTCTTCCTCTGTTTCCTCGGCTCTCACCGGCGAACCCCAAAATCTGCTCGCCAGAGACGATGACCTGTGAGGCGCAGATCTGCATCGGGTTAACAGCAAGGCGTTCCTCGGCGGCGTGGACAAAGAAGGAGAAACGACGAAAGCTTTCTCCTTTCTTTCGAATTCTTGGTCTCCTTGTTCTTCGCCAAAATCTTCCCCATCTGAACGACCTTCAATTGGGTCTTCAAATTTCGATTCAATCTTTGGTGGGTCCTTTTTGACTTCTCCCTTTCTGCAAAAACCCAGTTGGAAAAAAGGTACCCATTTGCGCCAGACGGGTCGAAAAGACTTGGCCTTGATTTTCCCGGGAAAATGGCGGGAAAACAGGGCGGTTCGGATCCATTTGCATCGCCGTCGGGAAGGAGCTCCGGTAGTTCCTCTAGCTCGCCGGGGCCGCGAACCGCCTTGCTTGGAGGACCTCCGGACTCGGACTTGCCCCATGCACGTGACTTTAGGAGACGACGGCTCTTGTGTTTCAACGGCGGGTGTGTTCTTCTTCCTCACGAACATTGGGCTCGAACGCACCCGGGCTCTGCTTCTGCTCCCGACGTTGGTCCTCAGAAACCTCACCAACGGCGGCGGGAACTTGTCCGTCCGACCCGGACTCGACATGGGTTTTGCAGAGAGCTTCATTTCCGTCCAATCCGAATAACAATCCGAATCAACGATAGATTTGGGTCTGGTTTCCTCAGGCTTTTCAGAAGAACGAAAGCAGCTTTCTGTCTTTCTCTCTGGAAAATGGGTGACTATGGAGAGCTCTGTGTTAGCTTTCAATTCCTTTTGTTTTCTTCTTCTTTTGTTTTGGGGAGTGTGAAATTTGGTATTTTAATCTTTGCACGGATGGGTGAATGGACTGTAAAGATTTTTCTATGAATCGACGAGGTTGTAGGCTTCATAATCTATTTTCCCTTCTCTTCTATTTGAACGGTTACGGTTTAACTATGTCAATATTTTATGTTGATATTTTTATAGAGACAATAAGATAAAAAATAATATCTAATATGTAAGAGGAGGGGAGAGAAGAGAAGGGAGAGAATCCTGCTTCTTGTTTTGTAGCCGTGTTTGGTGTGTTGGACTGGCTCCTGATTGAATGGTGATTGATAATATGCCTACTTTTCAAGGCAGAAATCATTACAGTTAAAGCTCAACCAATATCAAGTTGAATCCAATTCTCCGTTTAAATTATATGGTGTTTCGGAGTATTCATGCTTCATTTTAATTGACCATTTATTCATTTCTGTGTTATTAGTGAAGAAAGTGTGATTAGAATCCTTTTATTCGTGCAAATGCTGTGAACATTTGTCTAAATTAGAGAGAATTTAGAGGTGAAGCTCGAATCAAATTATATGGTTTTTCGAAGTACGAAATGTTTCGGAGTATTCGTACTTCATTTTAATTGACCATTTATCCATTTCCATTGACCATTTATCCATTTCCATGTTATTAGTGAAGAAAGTGTCATTAGAATCCTTTTATCCATGTAAATGATGTGAACATTTGTCTGAATTAGACAGAATTTAGATGTGAAGCTCGAATTAAATTGAGATTGACAACAAGCTTAACCACAAAGAGTGACCACATGAGTAAGTAATATTGATCTACGACAAAACCATGTGGTGGATTTGTGCAATTAACCTTTCCAATTAAACATCAAAACAAACACGTGAATCAAAGCCAATTTAACCTTTCCACATCCTTTATAGTTTGTACGTACTTATTTTAGATTAATAACACAAAAGAAAATTGCTCATTTGAAACGATTTAATTGAAAAGGACCTCTAAATTCCTTCCCTCAAACACTTTTGAAACAAAGAAAAGAAATCCAATTAGGCCAAAATTGTATATATATCAATCTTTACATGCAACTGCGATGCCAATATCTCAAATCAATTCCTCGATGTTGTGTGAGTTAGTTAAAACACTTGACAGACTAGCAGTACACAATAGACTTGAAATACCGTCATCTTAGGATCCCAGTTGCATAAGATTTCTCTCATTCATAGGAAGAATAACTTACATAAACGAGTTCCCTGTCATGTGGCGTCTCTTGTCCAATGATGTATTGTCATATGCAAATTTTTCTCCAAATGACAATATATTATTGGACAAAAACATCATATAACAATGAACTTGTTTGATGTAAGTTGTTCTCCTTCCTAAACTTATTGTAATTATTGTGTCGAACGCGGCCACCCCCACACTACTCTTTTTGCGCGACTCTGAAGCGCACACAAAATAAATCATCCTTGAGATGAAAGGGAAAGGCAAGGGCAAAGGAAAATTCTCCCAGCACGCCACTGAATGGCTCCACTACTTTCCTATCAATTCTCTCTGCAACCACCACCGCCACTAGAGTTTTCAATACCCTCACACTACACTTTTTACTTTCCCATCTCTGCCCTACCCAGTTCGTACCAACTTACACTGTTCCCAGGTGCAATATAGTAATTTCACATGTGACTGGGGGCTACTAGATCAGTAAATTACATGGCCTTTCCCCAACAAGAAAACGAAAGGTCAACCTTGGTTTCAGGAACAGGCACGGCAAGAAAGTCAACTGGCAATTTTCGGAATCACTTGGTAAATATATAAGCATATGAGAATTTGATATTACCTGTGCCTGCAGAATGCAAGAAAAGCAACTGCATAGTTTTCAGACTATTAACACAGGAAATGTAGGGTGCCACAAGCTGTACTAATAACTATTGCCATTTTAGACAGCACAGGAAATGTAGGGCTGCTATGATTTAGATCGAAAGGGTCCCCTTGTGACGATAAAAATTAGTGAATTACTAAATTCATATTCATATACGACGAGAGATACTTATCTACAACGGGATGTTAAGTCCTATTATGAAACAGTTTCATCATGCATGGTAACTTTAAGATTCGGAATCAATAGGTCTTTTCATCCCAACCGTTGGTTTTGTTGACTCACATCCCTCCATGTTGTGATTCCAATTGGTGGTCTGCTCTTGTCCAATGCTTGTTCCGTTTTCGTCATCTGGGAAACAATGTTGTGTTAGAGTGCTGTGGAACCAAATAGAGCAAGAAAATTTAACTAACGAAAATGAGAGAGGTCTTAAAAGGCGATTATGAAGTCTTGCCTGAGACATTTCCAATAGATAACTCGGTTAAGCGTCTAACACAGTCCTTCAATGTTTCCAGTTCCGTTTCTTTGTGTTGGAGTTTTGATTGGGCTGATCGAACAGCAGTTCAGATTCCAGCTCCACAATTTGGATTTCCTGCTGTTCGATGAGCACATGGCATAGTTTCTGATCCAGTTGAGCTGGCAATACTCCATGGAACTCCTGAGTAACAAAACACTGTCCCTCTAGGTCATGAAACCCTTGAGCTGTAACCTCAGAGACAATGTCCTGAATGGTATTAGAAGGGAAAAATCAGTCAGGCCAGCATAACGTGAATATCATCATTTAGGCATTACAATAGCTTTTGCCATTTCATTTGTCGACCAACAAAACGAACAAAATTACAATCCTTATATCTCAAAATAATCTAATCATAATATGGAGAGTTTGAACATGAAGTTCACCATCTACGCATTTACAGTGGCATTTGCCTGTTCATTGGTCGACCCGAAAAAAGGAACAAAATTACAATCCTTATATCTCGAAATGATCAAGTCATTTATGGAGTTTGTAACTTGAACTCTTAGCGGCGATTAGTTTTGGAGATAGTGCGATCCTATGTAGTTCTTTGTTCTTGGTAAATAACTAGGACAAAGTTGTTGGTTCAGCATCCATTATATTTAACTAAGAACGCAAAACTGGCTTCCAAACATTTTCAAAACACTACTAAATTGTATAATCTACACTTGATTATCAGCTGTAGTTTATAGCACCAGCATAAAGGCACGTCTCTGTAAGGTAAATCAACCTATTCGAAGAAAATATAATGACCTTTAAAGACTGACCTCACCCAGATTACTCAATCCCTCATGGCGAGGAGTATCCGTAGCGCACCATGGAAGTTTTTGCAATTCAGACTCAAGTTCTGCTTCTAATTGATCCATGTCCATCACTTCGGAATGTGGGTCCTGCTCCTCCGTAAGGACACTACTAGCACATCCGGCATCCTCAGATACAGTAAAACTGGACATTTGCATATGAATGGCGCCTCTGTTTTCTGTACTTGGATTGTTGAGTTCTGGCTGAGAAAGCTTGTTACTAGTTATCCGATGGTTTGTATTGGCTTCATTGTTAAACTCCTAGATGTAGGAACTATAAATGGTTAGTCTTCAACAAGGATCACAAACAACATCGTCCCCTTGCGAAGACCACCATGAGACTTCTCAAAGGCAGCTTTTGTCATCAGCCTCAAGCCGGAGGTTAGAGCGCCTGATGCAGCCAAGTCAGCAAAGAAGGACTGGATGAATTCAGGACGCATCAACGACAGATCCCCGATCATTCCACTTTGAACATAGGCATCTGCAACCCCAAATGCAGCAACACATGCGCATATACCGATATAAGGTCCAACTCCTCCGCCTGCAGATGTGGCTACATCCACAATTATAAGCATCAAGATAGCGAGGAAGAAGAGAGCATATCCAATTAAATTCCACTTTCTGGTGTCAACCTTTGCTTCATGGTATGCTGAGAACCCATCTGTCCAGCAACAAAGACAGCAGCAACACCAACTGAAAGATCTGGTGCAGGCTGTGTTTACTGGTAACGCATAAGAACTCTTCTACTCACTCAAGACCTTATGTTCCAATGGTGATAGAACCCTGATTACAGAACGTGTTCTTTGTGAGCAGGGAATCCTTTATTATATTGAACTGAACTTCTCCAACTTCCATCTATCATGATGATTGGATAGCAACTGCTATGAACTGCAGCCATCAGTTTCCTTTGACATGGAGCAATGCAGGCATCCTTATCACGTCCCATATCCCTTAATTCTAGGAGATCAGTTATTGACATGGCCATGACTCCTAATTGGTTTAAACCCACGTTTAGGTATCCTTATCATGATATGTGTAAGTTCAAAACCTAACATTCTCCCACTTTTGAACTTCCACTTATCATGTTCCTTGTCCAACGTATTAAACCAATCCCTTATGTGATCACTTAAGTCATGTCAACCATACAACAACTCATATCTGCCATGAATAGCTTCAAAAGTTGAACCCCAGAAAATTAGTACTTCATAATTTGTACTAACACTCTGAAATCACATCCCCCAAAACTACTCATGCATGATATTAACAGAGCAAATAGACATATTTAACATGTCTATTATTTACACTCCCACTGATCAAACCACACATCATTGTCAAGCCTTTGTTTGGCTCCAATGATAAGCCTTTTACAATAACCAGCTCATTAAACCTCGGTTTGATTAGTAATTCATCATTTCAAACACTGCATATATATATGAAACAACATTTCAAACACTGCATATATATATGAAACAACATCAAATATGATACAATCATATTCGATCCTTTATCAAACTCCAATGAGTTTGCCTAATGCTTCCAACCAAGCCTCAATTCTGCCTTATGCAGATAAACTAGTCATTGAGTGAATAACCATGACATGCAATTTATGTAACACCTTTGGGCAAGAGACATAAAATATCAGTTATGCAATCTTAATCATGCATCCTTATTTGCATAGCTATTTCACAAAAATTTCAAGTTACAACTCAAATCATGTCTTTGGACAAGGGAACAAAGTTGACTTAAAACTCTTATAAAATACTACACACTATATCACAGTTCAAGCCATTCACTATTTCTTTCTTTTGAAAGATTGGTCTTATGCAATGAACTGTCACTCATAAAATTCAATTAAGAATCTCTTGAACAAAATTTTCTAATAATTCCCACTTTGATGAAGATTTATTCAAACATTTGTTCAAGTATAGAGATTATTAGTGCTGAAAACCTGCATAAAACTTTAGCATTTCAATTTGATTGTAGAAATCATCCAAACGTCAAATGAAAAACCAATTTTCTACACAAGTAAAATCTAATTATAGATTATTTTCACATGTATCAGGTTCAACCTAAAGTTACTAAGCTACAATCTACACCAATGGCTATTGCCAATACATACTTAGATATCAAGAAACTGATTTCAATCATATTCCAGATTTCAATCAGATATCGATCATCGTTTGCATGACTACCAATTCTAGAAAGATAAAAGCACAATGCTTACAATGTTTTAATCTCCAAACCATATATTCCTTTTCCTGCTGTGAATAAAACTTTGGCAGCAACATATGGCATTAGAACAATTAATCATGCTATAGAAAAAAACTGTAGCAATCATCATACGAATTTTATACATGCATAAAGCATTAGGATTTCTTATCACAAGTTCATAGCCGAGGTATTCACTGAAGAAGACATGGAAAAATCGTTGAGATGCATGCTTATAACATACCTTTAGTTAAAACTATAAGCAACCATTCATTCTTTATTGTACACCCACCATTATAGGATATTTTCATGCCACTATATCAAGTATATGGCAGCACACATGCAGTAGCACCATCTGCTGTCTTCTGACATCACGCATGGGAAAGATTTGTGTAACAAACATGGGAAAGAAGTCTGAAGGTTACACTTTAACAGTAACCACATGGGAATGCTTCTGACAGCATACATGGGAAAGAATGAAGGCATTAGAATGATACCTCAGCATCTGCTTCTGCCCGCATAACACAGCAGCGGCACAATCTCAAATCGTGAAGATTCCCAGTCCTTAAATCTATCCTGATACGCCAGTTGAAATCATCTAGAAAACTGTAAGGACTATCTTAAGAAGACATGGAAAACTTGAAACAATCATTAGTGATTGTTAAATGCATGTTTATATCACACCCTTGGGCAAGAGATATAAACTGCCATTGACCTTTACTGTATAGCCATTATTCAAGGATCTTATCATGCAATTATTACAAGTCTTTGGACAAGAATATAGCCTGATCTACATGATGCCATACACTGATTAAAACTACCAATAATTTATACATCCCCTTCTTTGGAAAAGAATGTGAACATTTCTTGAGTTTTAAACCACAAACATTCTTCCTTTACTGTAATCGAACAATGTTCTTGACATTTACTGCAAACCAAACTGTTAGTATAGTAGCAGAAAAGATCAAACTCAAAGTGATATAGTTCCAACATATACAGATCATTATATTGATCACAACAGAAATAGATGAAAACTGCATTCTCACTGCAGCCAACACATTGCATATGCAGATCATAAAGCCACTTCATCTTCCATTCTTAAATAAATGGGATATAATCATACTAATAAACTAATGAAAAACATCATTTGATTAGTCATGTCCCAGAGCATGCACTCAATCTGTTGTTTAACGAGGAAACTTTACCAGAAGAATACAGCAGCAGATAGCACACACACTGCAGTATAATTTTACTATACATTCTCGCAATGTTCATTTACACACCATCGTCTCGCAATGTTCATTTACACACCATCAACCGATGCATGAAAATAGTTTATTTTCAACTTTACTTGCATGCACCCAAGGAGATCAAGGAAGAAAAGTGAAATAAAAAACGCATGCTTATGGAGAGAAAAATTTACGAGCATGCAACATAGCACAAAAATAAACCACTCAAAATTTCCCTTCTTTGTAGAATTTGCCTAATTCAGTGTCTTTTCAACCAAGATGAACGCCACATGCAGGTTCTCTAAGCAGAGATTGAGTTTCACAAGTTTGGTGATCTAATCATCCTTTTACTTGTTCTTGCATATATAAACAATCAAGAAACATTACAGGAACTTGCAATTAGGAATTAGGCAACAAGATATCGAGGCAACCATGAACCAAGAAATCAAAATAGTCATAAATAAATGCCTCAAAATAATAAATGAAACTATCATTAACCAAGGCAGCCATGAAGTAGGGAATTAGATGTTGTCATGAACCAAGGCAACAATCACCGATGCTAACATTAGGGGCTAGGTTGAGGCAATTTTCTTCCCCGTACAACAAATATTTCCAGTAAATGATATAGGTATAAATGTTAAGATAATTAAGTTTGAATCCAAGTAGACTAACCATGCTCTGATACCAAATGTAGGAACTATAAATGGTTAGTCTTCAACAAGGATCACAAACAACATCGTCCCCTTGCGAAGACCACCATGAGACTTCTCAAAGGCAGCTTTTGTCATCAGCCTCAAGCCGGAGGTTAGAGCGCCTGATGCAGCCAAGTCAGCAAAGAAGGACTAGATGAATTCAGGATGCATCAACGACAGATCCCCGACCATTCCACTTTGAACATAGGCATCTGCAACCCCAAATGCAGCAACACATGCGCATATACCGATATAAGGTCCAACTCCTCCGCCCGCAGATGTGGCTACATCCACAATTATAAGCATCAAGATAGCAAGGAAGAAGAGAGCATATCCAATTAAATTCCGCTTTCTGGTGTCAACCTTTGCTTCATGGTATGCTGAGAACCCATCTGTCCAGCAACAAAGACAGCAGCAACACCAACTGAAAGATCTGGTGCAGGCTGTGTTTACTGGTAACGCATAAGAACTCTTCTACTCACTCAAGACCTTATGTTCCAATGGTGATAGAACCCTGATTACAGAACGTGTTCTTTGTGAGCAGGGAATCCTTTATTATATTGAACTGAACTTCTCCAACTTCCATCTATCATGATGATTAGATAGCAACTGCTATGAACTGCAGCCATCAGTTTCCTTTGACGTGGAGCAATGCTTTCTCAAAAGCGATTAGATGTCAAATGAAAATTGTAAGGCTCATAAAAACGTTCAACCCTAATCCGATAACTCATATACAAGTTTGTTGATGCACAAAACCGGAGGTCTTGGAACAACATAAATCCGACTGTGAATCTGCAAGAAATGTAAAGAACACAAGATGTATCGTGGTTCACCCCAATTTTTGGGCTACGTCTACACTGATATTATATTTCTCTGAGATGTTGAAGAGGGAGAGAGAAAGCTTCTGAGGGTCAGAAAGCTCTTCTCAATCTGAGAGGCTTGAGGGGATCAGGAGGCCTAAGAATTCGCCTCCCCTAATGAGAAGAGTGAGGAGTCCTTTTATAGAATAAGGGCTTCTTACTTATTACATATTTGCCCCTTCATTTATTACATAATTACATTTGAGTCCTCCGAGTATTTATACGAGATCTAAATACGGAGGCCCTAAGTATGGTATAAACAGTAGTCCCCAAAGTCTTCAGTCAAGAGAGTCTGTTGGCTGGAGACTTGAAATTCAATCCATGTGTGGGCCGAAGTAACTAGATGTCGTCTAGAATTGATACTCGATATGAGGTGATGCTCAATGTGAAATGATGCTCAACTAGAAGTAGCACATGTTGCGAGGTTGCTCGGCTTGTGGCTTATGTTGCCCTGGTTGGCTTGGCTTGTGGCGTTGAAGGTGAGGTAGTCCCTTTTATAGAACAAGGGCTCGCTCCTCAATACATAAATGATAGGCTAGAGTTGATGCTTGCAGCGAGGTGGTTGCCTAGTGGGTGATAATAGCGGCAGGTTGCCGAATAATTTTGGAGTACTGGGCGTACTTTTGATCACTTGGTTGGTAATAATAGCGGCAGGCCGCCGAATAATTTTGGAGTACTGGACGTACTTTTTTTTTTATTACCCTTTGATGGGTTTATGCAGATGTCTCTGAAAGATAAGAAAAATAAATTACATCATTCAAAAATAAATAAAGCAATCATTGGGGGATTACACTCCCCTTCATGATGAAAGTTTCATCTTTTTCAACA